AATAGCACTTAGATTTATATCCCGCTTCACAGTGCTTTCCAGCCCGCTCTAAGTGGTTTACAGAGTCAGCCTCTTGCCCCCAACAATCTGGGTCCTCATTTTACCTTGAGCCTGGTGGGATTTGAACTGCTGGCAGTGAGCAGAATTAGCCTGCACTACTGCGTTCTAACCACTGAGAGAGAGGGAGGGAAGGAAGGAAGGAAAATAACAATAGCCCTTAGACTTATATACCACTTCACAGTGCTTTCCAGCCCTTTCTACGCAGTTTACAGAGTCAGCCTCTTGTCCCCCAACAATCTGGGTCCTCATTTGACCCACCTCGGAAGGACGGAAGGCTGAGTCAACCTTGAGCCTGGCGAGATTTGAACTGCCAAATTGCAGGGAGCCTGCAGTACTGCACTCTAACCACTGTGCCACCGTGGTTGGATCCTGTAATTTCAGCTTTGCCCTGAGCTTTCCTCTCCTTTTCCTAGGCGGCTGGAGGCCAAAACCTATGAAGAACAGTTGCAGCAATTGGGTAGGTTTAGTCTAGTGGGAAAAAAAAGGACTCCGGGTGACAAGATAGTAGCGTTCCAATATTTGAGGGGCTGCCCCAAAAAAGAGGGAGTCAAGCTATCATCCAAAGCACCAGAAGGCAAAGCAAGAAACAACGGATGGAAACTACTCAAGGAGAGAAGCAACCTGGAATTAAGGAGAAACTCCCTAATGTCGCGAGGACCATCAACCAGTGGAACCACTTGCCACCAGAATTTGTGGGCGCTTCTTCCCTGGAAGTTTTTCAGAAGAGACTGGACAGCCACTTGTCTGAAATGGTATTGAGCAGAGGGAGCTCGACTAGAAGACCTCCAAGCTTCCCTCCCAGCGGTGTTGATCCTGCGGTTCGGTCCGAGTTTCATCCTCCCAGTCTGAGGCTTTTGGCCTCCTACACCATCAATCCTGCAGCTCCAAAGTTTGACGGAGGGCTAAGAAAGGCTTCCCTTTCCTTTGGCTGCTTTGTGGCCTCTTCCATTTCAGAAAATTTAACAATCCCGTCTATCCTGAGAGGTCCAAGTCATAAATGGGAAAAGGGGTCGTAATTCACATTTTTCCCCCCTCAGGGCCATCGTAACTTTGAACCATCACTAAATTAACTGTTATAAGTCAAGGACTGCTTGTCGTTTTATCAGCTCGGGAGTCTTCTGAAAACTGGGCTGCCTTTTATTTTGCATTCTTTTGCAAATAACTAAAAAACTAGAGACAGCATGGCAACCTATTTTCTCCTTCCTCTTCTATCCGGCGGGCGTATTTCAGAAGGTTTTCCTTCTCTACTAGATGAACGTGTCAGATGGAAGCTCTATTCTTTTTAATCTCCATAATCCACCCTTCTCCTCCAGGTGCCCTCTAGATACCTTAAGCTAAGCCCACCCCACGTCACGTCTAAGTTGCCTCTCTACTGCGAATTCTGCTGCCCTTCCCAATGAAGAATGTCCTTGAAAACTATCTGGAGACCTTTTGATCATGTCCTTTTTTTGCCTGATCCATCTGGAAGTGCAGCTGATAAATTTAGAACTAATAAAAGGAGATACTTCTTCACTCAGCGTGTCGCCAGTGAGTGGAATTCACAATCGCAGAAGGCAACCTTTGCCTCCAAGGAAGTTGAAACGAGCTCTCCTCCAACTATAAGCCCATAGTTAGTTATTTTCCCGAAATGTTTACTGCTGTTTTAGGATTTGTGTTATTTCACCCTTTATCTCTCTCTCTCTCTCTCATCTATCTATCTATCTATCTATCTATCTATCTATCTATCTATCTATCTATCTATCTATCTATCTATCTCTATTTTTCTATCACCCATCTATCATCTCATATCTATCTAATCTCTTATCAATCTCTATTTTCTATCTATTTATCTCTCTCATCTATCTCTTATCTCTATTTTTCTATTATCCATCTATCCGTCATTATCTTTCTAATCTCTTATCCATCTCTATTTTCTAACTATCTACCTACCTATCTAATCTTATCTCATTCATCTCTATTTTCTATTTATCTATCTCTATCATCTATCTCTATCTTTCTATAATCTATCCATCCATCCATCCATCCATCCATCCATCCATCATGTCATCTATCTCTATCTATCCATCCATCCATCCATCCATCCATGCCCACCTATTTCATCTCTTATCATCTATCTATATAATGTTTAACTGTATAATATTTTTACTGTAACCAGAGACATTTAAGGAGTGGGTCACAGATAGATTTTTTTTTCTAAAAAAATAAATAAAATGTGCCTGCAGACGTTCGGAATTTCCCATGGTGAATCAACAGGGGGAGATGGGGGTGTTTTATTTAGCCGCCCCTTTGAGGAAGGGAGACCAAACAACAATTCTTATTGTGTGTTTCTGGGGAAGAAAATGTTGCGACCCACCAACAGCCAGAGGAGCTGGCAGCAGATTCAGACAGTGAGGAGGTTGGGGAGCAACATGGGCCAGTCCTGGGGTCTGGGGAAGGCTCGGACGAGGGCTCTGCATCGGAGGCAGAGATGGGGCCAGGGCCCTCTGACAGTTATCAGCTGCCTTTGGAATCGGACATCAGTGAGGCAGAAGAACAGCTGGAGCCTGTTCCCAGTGTGCACATGCACGGAGCTGCCGGAAGAAGGGAACAGCTAAGGAACAAGGGTCGACTCGGGAGTAAAGGTACAGGTGGACGGTGAATGGCCCCTCCCATAGGGAATAAGGAGGAGCAAAAGGGAATGGTGTTTGCAGGAGATAATTAGTTCATTTAATGAGGGTGAAGATCTGTTCCCGACTTGTTGGCAAGTATTCTCTGCTGCAGCATGGCATTTGGAAGCTATCGGCCTGACAATTCTCCCAGCCTGATTAAGGTGCAATCTCTTGAAAAACTGTTTGTCGGGACTTTGCTGGATGTGAATGAGAGGAAATACACATTAGCCTAAATAAAAGGGGTTTTGTCAGGATGATTTTGGGAAGCCCAGTTCAGAACACAAAAAGGTTGAGAGTTACAAGATTTGAGCTGGGGGAATTGGTCCAGAGGAGGAACATTGAGTGATCATTCCTGCACATTGTAACTCACCTTTAAATGCCCTCAAAGGGAAGACTCCCCATTTTGACCTATGCTTGCCAACACAACTAAGCCTTGCGGGAAGATCCAGGGAGCTCCAAGGTCTCCATACTCAAAAACTTCCAAGGCTTGTAGACTTCAACTCCCAGAATTCCCCAGCCAGCAGGAGTTGAAGTCCACAAGTCTTGAAGTTGCCAAGTCTGGAGACCCCTTATATAGCTGAACAAATTGACAGGCAGGGAAGACAAAGGAGATCCCATTTAATCCCCTTGCATCAATTCCAAATCTGACTTTTCCAAATATAAAGACTATGACTATTTGGGGTATGGCCTTGGTTGTAGGTTTTTTTTTTTAGGTCAATGGTATTTGTTGTAAGACGGACATGTTATAGAGCAGCAACGGGTCTTGGTTCTTCTGGTTCATTCCAGCTACTGGTGAATTGAGGTCTTTTGGTTAGATCTAAAAATATCTCTTGGCGTAAACAAGTCATCAGCCTCCTGGAATCGGAATCTCTTGACAGAATGCTAGGAGTATATTTTAGTCCCACTACAAAGGAAGTGATGGGACCATGGTACACATATAAACAGACCTTGCCCTCCTCCGTCCACTTGGAAGAGGTCAGTGTGACATGTCCTCAAAGAACTCCACTTCATCAAGATTATGATCTGCTCCACGCTTGGTTGCCCAACTGGGAGAATCAGACATAGCACCCGAGCAAGAGCACAGGAGATCAGCTTGCAGAGACAGGCTTTTCAGACCATTCATGGGTTTTCTCACAAGATTCAGCGCCTTATTTACTATTTACAATATTTGCACCCTGTCAGTATGTTTCTTCCAAAAGCATCTGCAGCTCTGCAGCCAATATGATGTCAAATACCCTTAAAAAAAAAAGTGGATGTGAATAATTGGACAATTTAAAAGTCACTCCGGATTCTTGGTTCTTAAGAATTGTCCAGTTATTGGATTCAGAACAATTCACCGGTGGAAGTGCTGGCCACCAGAAATTGTGGGTGCTCCATCACTGGAGGCTTTTAAGAAGAGACTGGATAGCCACTACTTGAGGAGGGGGTTGGACTAGAAGACCTCCAAGGTCCCTTCCTATTCTATTCTATTTCTATTCTTTATTCTATTCTATTTCTATTCTGTTGTCTCCTGTTCTATGTTATATTCTTTATTGTATCCTTATTCTATTCTATATTCCATTCCATTCTTTATTCTGTTGTTTATTCTATGCTAGTTTATTCTATTCTATTGTTTATTCTATTCTATTCTATATTCTATTCTATTCTTTATTCCATTCCATTCTACTCTTTATTCTATTGTTTATTTTATTCTATTCTGTATTCCATTCCATTCTATTCTTTATTCTATTCCTATTTCTATTCTATTGTCTCCTATTCTATATTCTATTTATTCTATTCTCTATTCTATTCTATTCTATTCTCAATCCTATTCCTATTCTATTCTATATTCTATTTATTCTATTCTATATTCTATTCTTCATTCCATTCTATTCTATTCTTTATTCTGTTCCATTCCTATTCCTATTCTATTCTGTCTCCTATTCTAAGTTCTATATTCCTATTTCTTCTCCTTTCCCTCCCTGGGGAATCGTCGCGGCCGCTCCATCATCGGAGACTTTTGAAAGGTTGGAGAATAACTGGCCCGCCATGCTGGGGCCCCTTCCCGCTCCGTCATTCCTTTTATCTTCGCCGTCCCTTTCAGAGCGGGGCGAAGCGCACAGAGCCGAAGTCGAAAAGAAACCCGCACGTCTAGCGCGCGTGCCAAAGGACGTCCCCTCTAGGGATCCTTACGTCACGCTCTCCTCCTCCCGGGTACCCAGAACGAGCCTTGAAAAAAAGAGGAAGGACTACCGGAGTTGACCCGGAACCGGAAGGTCCGAAACGTGTTTTTTTTTCCCTTCTCCCCTTTCTTCCGCCTGCGCGTGTGGGAAGCGTTGCCCGGGAAGCGAGAGACCCGGAGCGGCCGGAGAAAGGCCCAGCCGAGCCGGGGCGGAGAACGAAGCAGCGGCCGGAGCTCCCCGAAGATCCGCTGCTGCCGCCGCCGCCGCCGCCATGGCGGACGTGACCGCCCGGAGCCTGCAGTACGAGTACAAGGCGGTGAGTGCGGGGCCGGGATGGCCGAGCGCCGCTTTCGTGGGCCTGTCCCGGGCTGGGGTCTCCTCCTCCTTGGGCCCCGCGGAAGGGGGATCGAAGGAGCCGGCTTGGGAAGTCCAGGCCTGGGAATGGAGGCACCGGGAGGGAAGCCTGTCCTGTCCTCCCTCTTGTGGGGATCCTCGGGGGTCCTGGGGGTGGATTCCTCCAAGCAGTCGGGGCCCAGAGAAGGGGGGGAGGGGTCTCCAACCTGGGTCCCTTTAAGCCTGGAGGACTTCAACTCCCAGAATCCCCCAGCCAGCTTTGGTAGGCAGAGGCTGAATTTTTCTCCCCCTTATTTTCCTCCCCCAAAACTAAACCCGACCACGTAGTTTCGTACTGAAGCACAAATATAGAGCTTGTAGAATATAGAATGGGAATAGAATACAACATAGAATATAGACTAGAATATAGGATAGAAATAGAAGAGAATATAGCATGGAAATAGAATACAACATAGAATATAGACTAGAATATAGGATAGAAATAGAAGAGAATACAGAATTGAATACAACATAGAATATAGGATAGAAATAGAAGAGAATATAGAATGGAAATAGAATACAACATAGAATATAGACTAGAATATAGGATAGAAATAGAAGAGAATATAGAATGGAAATAGAATACAACATAGAATATAGACTAGAATATGGGATAGAATTAGAAGAGAATACAGAATTGAATAGAATACAACATAGAATATGGGATAGAAATAGAAGAGAATATAGAATGGAAATAGAATACAACATAGAATATAGACTAGAATATGGGATAGAAATAGAAGAGAATACAGAATTGAATAGAATACAACATAGAATATAGGATAGAAATAGAAGAGAATATAGAATGGAAATAGAATACAGCGTAGAATATAGACTAGAATATGGGATAGAATTAGAAGAGAATATAGAATGAAAATAGAATACAGCGTAGAATATAGACTAGAATATGGGATAGAAATAGAAGAGAATATAGAATAGATTATACAATAGAATATTGAAGGTGGCGGCCCTTTGTGAGCTGAATGCAATGGAATTTCATTTTACTGTGTACTGATTAGTGTTCATTCAAAGTGACAATAAAGTTATTCTAAATCTAAGATTATATGGATCAATTGTGTTCAGAATCTTTCCCTGAGCCTGAGATGGAACCCAATCTCCTAAGCCGATGTTTTGAAATTTCAACCCCTTCTTAAAGTTGCCAGCTTTGAAAATACACAGTCATAACCTACTGCCAGCGCTTTGTGATTCGGTGGCGATGAACTAATTTCAGGGCAACGATAGAAAAATGTGCCTTTCATTTAATTATAATGTAATCCGTTTAAGCGCTTGCCTAACTCCAAAGGTTAAGCAAAAAATGTTTGAAATCAATTGTTGTATAGCCATTACCACCTTGCTGATCTCTCTCTTTTCCCCCTTTCTCTTGTCTGTGTCTGGCAATTCTTTCAGAACTCTAATCTTGTGCTTCAAGCTGACCGGTCTCTGATTGACCGGACCAGACGCGATGAGCCCACAGGAGAGGTCTTATCGTTGGTTGGGAAGCTGGAGGGCACCCGCATGGGTGATAAGGCCCAAAGGACCAAACCCCAGATGCAGGAAGAAAGAAGAGCGAAGTAAGCAAAGAAATATATGCTTGTTGCCTGTTAATATCATACTGAGTTGAGTGAATTCCAGAGTGGGTGGATCTGACACGCTCATTGCATCTTCTGCTTATGATGCTGAGGTTTCTATTGCACACTGATGTGCCAGCACTGCATGTTCAGTTGATCAGAATATTAAACGTTTCCATATCATCTTCTGGAAAACTTTACTTCTAGAGGTCTGTAGAGATTCTCAGTCATCCTGGTTGTCCCAAAGGTGCTTTTTCAGGAGGCAACTTGGATGTCCTTGTTTTTTGTTTTGAAGACATTTTGCTTCTCATCCCACCCAAGAAGCTTTCTCAGCTCTGACAGGAGCTTCCTTTCCCCACCATCCTGTCAGAGCCGAAGAAGCTTCTTGGATGAGAAGCGAAACATCTTCAGAACAAAAACAAGAAAGTCCAGTTGCCTCTTGGAAAAGCACCTTTGGGTCTACTTCATCTCACTCCCCAAGGTTCAACTAGAGGTTGAGGTTGAAGATGCTGCGAAAAAAACAATGCTGATTAAGCAGTATGAATCGATAGAAGTTGAGGCCTGGGGCAGAGAAAATTGTAAGCAGAGATAAAGACAAGCTAATGAGAATGTTCCTCTGGGCGTAGGAAAAGAAGGTGGTTCTTGTGCTTCAAGATGATGAGGGTTGGTGATCTCGGAGAGACAGGATTTCATAATCTTGAAATACATTGGCACAAGATCACTGCCAAGTAGAATAATAGGGGTACCAGCTATCCCATCAGTGGGTAAAGAAGATTTGTGTATTTAGAAAAAAAATCACAGATTGGTGAATGGAGGAAGGAACTAATTCATGTATATTTTTGTCATAAAACATAGCTGGATGATACTTTTATTAGGATAATCTAATACAAAAGTGAGCAGATTTTCAGCTTCTCGATAACTTATAAGAATATCGTTATCAAAAGAAAATGGGTGTGTCTGGGGGGGGAGAAAGGATGGATAATTTAAAGAGATGGATTTCTAGTTACTGAGCGGTTCTAAAGGAGGATCCTGGGCTGAATGCCGAGTAATTAAAATGCTGTCCATATCAGAATAATTTTGATCTGGACAGAGAAAAAAATACACATTTGTGTATAATATAAATCCTCAGAAAGAGCTTTCTTGGCTCTCCATTAGATAGATTTTCTTGTGTCTTTTCTGGCTGTTGGCTAATCTTCCTCCTGGTTTCCTAGGAGGCGCAAACGTGATGAAGACCGGCATGACATAAACAAGATGAAAGGCTACACCCTGCTTTCCGAGGGTATTGATGAGATGGTGGGAATTATCTATAAACCCAAAACGAAGGAGACTCGGGAAACCTATGAAGTTTTACTGAGCTTCATTCAGGCAGCTCTGGGTGATCAGGTGAGTGAAAAACAGGTGCTGCATTTGTCCTACCTGAGATTTCATAATTACCCTACTTTGTAACCAGTATTGGCAATTTTTGTGCAAAAGCTATAGGAGACCATAATTGAGCTCTTGTGTAGAAACACAGTCAGGTAGGTTTCTGAAGCTCTTTATCATTTCTGTAGAGTCCACTGGAATTGAATGGCCAATACATTTTAAGAAATAAAACAGAGATACCTTAACACTTCAAGATGATCAGCTGGTTTTTTTTTTGCTGTTTCTTTCCACTGAGTAAAATGAACGTGTCATTTGGTTCAGTGTAGAAACTGGGAGCTTAATGTAGTGTTTGGGAAATCCAGTTTTTTTTGTACTCTTGGGATGTTGAATTTTTACATGCTGTACTAAAGAAAACAAGCTGGTGCCTCATTATCTTTTTATGGATAACTTAATCCAGGCTTTATTTCCCCAATAGCGCCGCTGAGATATGATTCCTGGTGTTTGAACTGACTTTGGATTTTTTTTTTTTAACCGTGATTGTTCAGGGGTGTAGCCGAAGTATTACCAAAGAATTATTTCCAATTATGTTGTGTTTCCACAAATGCTTATTATCGCTTTCTGAAACATGTTTATGGCTCAGACAACATGGCATGTAAAATAATAAAACAGTTATCAAATGAAAATATATTAAGAATGAACAGAATACGATTGCTTATTGTACCTTATGTCTATTATTAAGTGTTGTACCTTATGATTCTTGACTCTTTACAAATGTATCTTTTCCCTTACGTACACTGAGAGCATTTGCACCAAGACAAATTCCTTGTGTCTCCAATCACACTTGGCCAATAAAGAATTCTATTCTATTAAAAACCAACTAAGGCAATAAACTAGCAAACAGAACTAAAATAGACTATACGTAATCAAAGGCTCAAGAAAGCAGCGAGCTCGTAATTCCTAAAGGCCCGCGGTGTGGAGAATAACTGTGTTTTGGGGAAGGGAGTGAGAAAAGGCCACCAAAGACCCCTCCTCGATCCCATAATGTGACTCTGCTCAATGTGTGCGCAAATACAGATGCATGCAGTCCCACAAATGAGTCCTATGATACAGGATAAATGTTCTCAAGTTTTCAGCCATTAAACTGGGCGCAAAAGGAATGGTATCAATGGATACATATAACGGTATTGAAATGTATGTATGTTTTCTTAAGTTTTTATATATATTTATATAAATGTGCAGCCTCGAGACATCCTCTGTGGAGCTGCTGATGAAGTGCTGGCTGTCCTGAAAAACGAAAAGCTACGAGACAAGGAACGGCGAAAAGAGATCGACCTCTTGCTGGGCCAGACCGACGACACCCGTTACCACGTCCTGGTTAACCTGGGCAAGAAGATCACAGATTATGGCGGAGACAAGGAGATCCAGAATATGGGTATAATCCGCGGCCTCGGTTCCTTTCAGCTTATGCTCTCTGAATTAGGACCTGGGGTGGGGGCAGCTTATAGTACAGTCTGATTTTTGGGGTTTTCTTGATTTGATCAAACAGGATGTGGCGCTAAGAGGCTGCAGGGACAAATTCTGTTTGCCTTATCGTTCTCTGCCCCGAGGGTCAGGGATGTTTCCAAGATGGTTAAATCTTAGAAGATCTTAGACTTGGAGTAACCGTATTGTCACTTCGAACATACACCAATCGGCATGCATTAAAATGAAATTCCATTGCATGCAGCTCTCAGAGGGTCTCCACCTCCAATATACACCACGTAACCCTGACAAAATAAAATACAAAATTCTGCTCACGCCCACATCTACGACACAGCCACAATCCGGTCTAGTTTGGTTGTATAACGTTTTGGTGATTACATCGTGAGATCTACCAGATTTGAAAAACATTTTAAGGATTGGGCTGCGGTTTGGGTTGCTAAGTTTGATAATGGGAAACTTCTGGAGACCTTAGTTGTTGCATTGGGATGGCCGGGAGCTTTGCAGAAGCTCTAGCTGGGGAAGGAAGGATGGGCTTCACACCCGAAAGCCTTTGCGTGGTGTGAATCTTGTAAAATAACCTTTTTTTCCCCCACATCGTAACTTACGGTCACGAAAAGCCGTGGTTCTAAAGGGAGGACTGCCTCTCCCTGCTTTTCCTCACCGAAACCCTTTGCTTTCCTTGGCAGATGACAACATCGATGAGACTTACGGAGTGAACGTGCAGTTTGAGTCAGACGAAGAGGTGAGCGTGGAGGCTCCCGTGCTGTAGAACAGGGGTCCTCAGCCTAAGCCGTGACCCACTAACTGCATGACTGGCTTGTGCATAAAGGCCCCTGCTCCCCTCCCCCTGGGCCCCCAACCCAGAAAAGTTGGGGAGCTCTGCTGTAGAATGTCAGGAGAGAAATCCTATGCCAGGTTCCAAGCAATGTAACCATCGTAAAACAATGCACTCCGAGGCATTGCAATTCCTCAAACAAGTTGATTAAAGTACATCATTTTGGCACTAACTAGTGCCGAGGTCTCCAAACTCCCAGAATTCTCCATTGCTGGCTGGGGAATTCTGGGAGTTGAAGTCCACGAGTCTTCAAAGTTGCCAAGTTTGGAGACCTCTGGACTAGTGGAAAGGCAGCACTGAAAGTTTCCTGGCTTTCCACATCACTATAACTAGAATTTTCTCAATTTTCCAAAACAATACGTCACCTTATCCAACCAGGATGTGAAATGGCTTCCTGGCAGCTTCGCTTCTCCTCCCTCTGGCCAAGCAACCATTGGAACGCGACTGACCCATTCATCTCAGCTCTTCCCCCACCCCACTTTCAGCTTCCAAGTGTGTCAAACTGAATTTGTATGAATAACCCAGGTATAACCCAATCCACCCCCTAACCAGTCTCAGGCTTGACCTCTTAGCAACATTGAATCGTGAAGGGGCTATTTTAAGTAAAAAGAGCCGTTGTGAACCAACAGGAAGGCGATGAGGATGTCTACGGCGAAGTCCGGGATGAAGCATCCGATGAAGACCTGGAAGGCGATGAAGCTGTCGTACGCTGCACCCTCTCGGCTAACGTGAGTCCCCGGGAAAACGAGGCCTTTTGGTTTTTAAAAAATAAATAAAATCAAAAATTAGTTTGATTACATTGGAGACTAGCCACCTTGTACGTTTTCCTGGAAAAATTCTGGCCAGGGGAAAAGGTTTTGAATAACTTGAGAATCAGTTGTTCCTATGTATGTCAGTCAGTGTAGGTAGTCCACGATCACAACGGAATCCAACATTTCTGTTGCAATTTTATATCTGCGTTCAAGGATTCCCTGTAGTGCAGGGGTCTCCAACCTTGGCCATTGTGGTGACCCTCAATGGCACAAAGGCAACACAGTTAGATAATCCGTAGGAGTCCCTTTATTAGCTCCACCTTTGACCCCAATGTCCTGGTTACCTTCTTGGCTGGAGGAAAACTCTCCCAGGAACAGCCTTTGGCTGCAGTGAATGAAGTCCAAAACATGGTCAACAAAAACTTTAAAGTTCAAACAAGCCAAACTGAAGTAATTAATTAGTCCAGCAGGGCAAGAGAAAGAATTCCAGACGTGAAGGCACAGCAATAACTCAACACAGTTGGGAAGACGCCAGGAACACAGATAAGCAGTCAACACAAGATAAACTCACGTTTGCTCCGCAGTCAGCTTGCATCTCTTAAACTTTCATTCCCAGATGTGGCTAATGAAGGGAATCAGGGCCCTTTCCTCCCCCGTAAGCCATGCCACCCACATTGCTCCCTTCTCTGTTCCTCCCTGCATGCCCTAGGATGAAGAGGGGGTGGGCCTGGATCTTCCTCTGAACTCCCCCTCCTTTATTCTAGCTCTCCCCTGCTCTGCCCAGCCGGACTTTGCCCTTCCCCAGTTTCCACCACAGCCAACGGTGCCACACTCCCACTCCCTGTCAGCTGTTCGTCTTCCTTCTCGGATTCAGACGGGGTGGGGGTGGGGGGCATGACAGCCACTTTATCCCTGGCAGACTTCAACTCCCAACGCTGCCTGGGGAATTCTGGGAATTGAAGTCCGCCAGGTTTAAAGTGGCCAAGGTTGGAGACCCCTGCTGTAAGTGCTTTCTAATTTCAGGAAGCATGAGAGAGGCTACGTATTCCTAGCGTCGCCTTCGGGCTTTGGGGTGTGTGTGTGTGTGCTTAGCCAAGCTCAGGGTGCGAGTCCTGGCATTTCTCCCCAGCTGGTGGCTTCGGGGGAACTGATGTGCTCCAAGAAGAAAGATCTGCATCCCAGGGACATCGATGCCTTTTGGCTGCAACGCCAGCTGAGCCGTTTCTATGACGATGCCATCGTCTCCCAAAAGAAGGCTGACGAAGTGCTGGAAATCTTGAAGGTGTGCTTGCTTGCTTGTTTGATCTTGGTGCTCTGATCCTGATCCTGCCTTTTTTTGGTGTGGGTGGGGGGGGTTGGCTTAATATTTGGGGCTCCAGAAGAAGAGCCTTCCCTGCTGCGGCTGCTGTCCTCTGGAACAGGGGTCTCCCACCTTGGCCGATTTAAGACTTGGGGACTTCCGCTTCTAGAAGTCCACAAGCCTTAAAGTGGCCATGGTGGGAGACCCCTGCTCTGGGACATCTTTGTCCCCCCCCCCAAAAAAGTCAGTTCTGTCCCTCTTGGCCTCCTGAAAGGCCTTGGAAGACCTGGCTGTGCCAACTAGCTTGGGACCCCAGTCGCGGTGTGGCACATCGGTGGTGACTGATGGAATAGAGAATGCCTCACCTTTTATCCCGTGGCTCACCTGGCTCCCCACCTCTCCCTCCTGCTTCATTCAGTGTTAATTGTAGGGTTAAATGTAAGGTCTTTATTTATTATTCTAATGTTTCACACAGCATTTCGGTGTCTGAAAGTGCCTGGTGTTGCCTTTGGCTAGATTAATGTAATAAATTTGGCTAGATTAATGCGATAAATAAAAAGTTGCGCATATTTATACCATCCGACCCATCTTTCACAAACGTTCCTATGTCAAAGATCCAATTCTTTCAAACCCTTCAAGAGGAAGGCACTTTTCTCTTGTCTTTTCGCTGAAGTACGACACCAATTTTCTCAATCTCTGGGGCCTGAAATGGGAAGCAGGAAAGCTCTTGGGGGGAAAAGCTGTCTTTTGGCTTCTCTCTGGTACACCCGGGCTCTGCAGACGTATTATGAGGGCCTTGGGGTTCCTCTGAGCTTAGTTGTTTTCTTAGATGTTTCATTACCCAGCTAGGTAACAACCTCAGTGCTAGAAGGGAGTTGTTGTTTGTCTTCCGTTTGTAATGCTAACGACTCGCACTGCCAGTATTGGTGGGAGTATTCAAGGAACCCAGAGCAAATCCCATTTTCTTTTAGCGCTGATGATGTTACCTAGTTGGGTAATGAAACGTCTGCAAGAAAACAGTCAAGCTCAGAGAGCACCAAGGACCCCTCACTCCTCCTCCTCCTTCACCTCCACCACCACCTTTCTACAAATCCCACTCTCTTTTGCATGGATGATGTTACCTGTTTGGGTATTGAAATAAGGAAACAAATCAAGCGCAGATTCCTCATTTTAACCCTGAGCCACAAATATTCTATCAGTTCCCTAGACTTGTATTTATACAGGGAAGCCCAGTTTGCAAAATTCGGAAGAGCCAAATGCAGCGTGGTATTATCTCCAAAGAAGGCTGGCTCCAAACTCCTGAAGGGCACCTGCCAGTCAAAGGCAGCCCTCCTACGTTTCGTTTTCCCGACTGCCCTGTGCCTCTCTTTGCCCTTCTGCCATTCGAGGCCCCACTCGTCATCCGTAGAAGATGAAACGGTTCGAAACGGTTTCAAACTGACAGCCGCCTCTCTCCGTTTTCTTCGCTTCCTTCCCCCAAGACGGCCAGCGATGACCGAGAATGTGAAAACCAGCTGGTTCTGCTCCTGGGATTTAACACCTTTGACTTCATCAAGGTGCTGAGGCAGCACAGGATGATGAGTGAGTATCTGTGTCGCTGGAATGTGAAACGCTCCTTTGTGGCGCTCCCCAAGAATTGGCTTCTTGTCCCAAAAGGTCCTTTGAGATGCCCTAGCAGAGGAGAGTTGGGGTTTTTTCTTCTTTCCACCCCGCTCGGATTTCAAAGAATCCCCTTTTCCCCTTTCTGGCTTCTGAAAACGGTCAGAATAGAGCTGGAAGGGGCCTTGGAGGTCTTCTAGTCCAACCCCCAGGCTCAAGCAGGGGACCCTGTGCCCATTTCAGACACAAGTGGCTGTCCAGCCTGTTCTTAAGTTCAGTGTGTTCTCCAGTGATGAAGGACCCATCACTTCTGAAGGCAAGTTGGTCCACCTCCCAGCTGTGGGAATCCAGGTCGCAAGTCCCTCGCCCCCGTAGATCCGTTGTAACTTCGAATGCTTGCTTACTGACTGGGGGATAAATTGAGGACCCCCTGTAATACTAGCCTGCATGCTGCGTATTTCCCTTGTGAGAATTTTATATTTATGTCCTTCCTCTGTGTGTGTGTGTGTGTGTGATGTGCAACTGATGTTTTGAACCAAAGGTGCTTTTTTCCCCAAGAGGCCGCTGGACTTTCTCGTTTTTCTTTTGAAGACGTTTCTGCTTCTCATCCAAGAAGCTTCTTCAGTTCTAACGGGATGGTAGGGAAGGGAAGGATTTATACTCCTTGCAGGCAGCTGGTCATTTGCATCCTTTTGGAAGGTTGTTGAGGCCACTTGGAGGTTTACCTGTTGTCTCAGGGTCACCTGAGTGGTGCAATGGGGTGTGAAGCCTTCTTGGAACTGCTGAAAGGACTGTGTTGTCGAATGGAGATAGATGATCCCTCTGTCAACTCATAAAATATTTCTATGTTGTTGTTTTTTCCAGTTGCCAAGACAAAGGGAAGGTGGGCGGGGAAGGGATTTGAAAGAGCAGTGCGGCAGCTTGGAAAGCAAAAGTGCATTCCATAAATGTTTTCAAAGATAGTAACTAGGTGACTGAAGTTTCTGCCAGGCAAATCTCTAACTGGAGAGCATGATTGATGACTCTGGGCTATGGAGGTGTCCCATTGGAGAATATCAATTACAATACACCCAGGGGGTGGAGGGAAAACCAAGGTCAAGGGTGACAATGAATGATGTGTCTCAGAGCCGGCTACACCCAGGCAATGCCGGATGTGTTAACTCCCAATAAATCCTTTGGAAGTTTTGGAAGTTTGGCTCAAGACTCACGATTTCATTGGGGTGACTGCCGGAATCCTGACACCATAAGTCTAAGAGCTATTGTTTTTTTTTTTTTCAGTTTTGACATAGAATGGCCTCTTTAACCCCTCTTTCAAACCAGCGGTCCTCTCTGTCCAAAATGTGGACTTTACTGTCTTCAAATGTGGACTTTACTGTCTTTTAAATACAGATGGATTGCTGAATATAGTCCTGAGGGATTTGTTCTCCTGTGTCAGGGGTCCCCAGACTTGGCAACTTTAAGGCTTGTGGACTTCAACTCCCAGAATTCTGGGAGTTGAAGTCCACAAGTCTTAAAGTTGCCAAGTTTGGAGACCTCTGGCCTACGTTGAAGAGCTGAAGCTCCTTGGATGAGAAGCAAAACGTCTTCAAAGAAAAACCAGAACGTGACCCCGATGACAAGAGAATCTCCGTAGAATATTTGACTGATATTTTTGCTTTCTGGCTTTAGTCCTCTACTGCAGTCTCCTGGCCAGTGCTCAGAGTGAAGCTGAGAAGGAGAGGATTATGGGAAAGATGGAATCAGACCCCGAGTTGTCCAAGTTCCTGTACCAGCTGCATGAAACTGAGAAGGAAGATTTGATCCGGGTAAGAATTTGACAGTAACGATCAAGAGAGAAACCTTTTTAAAAGGACGTTTGTACCAAAGCAGGCAAATCCAGAACTAGGATTGACTTTGCGCAATGCAGCTGCACCGTGTAGCTTATCTTTCGTGTCTCTAGCATTGCTACGTTAAGAGAAATACACAATTGAAGCGCTACTAAAACAAGTGAACAATAACAATAGCATTTAAGGCTTACCTTACATTCCAACCCCATAGTGCCTTTATAGCACTCCCTATAAACGTAAGCATTATTTGCGTATTGTCCCCAACGTTGTGGGTCCTCATTTTACCCACCTCGGAAGAATGGGAGTCAACCTTGAGTCGGTCAGGATCGAACCGATGACACTTGGCAGAGTTTGCTGGAAATACTGCACTTTAACCGCTCTGCCACCTGGGTTAAAATACTATTCCTTTAATATTGCAGCTGAATAATCTGTGCTACTTTATTCCTCATTAAGTTTCTACGTTCTTACTTGTTGAACGTAAGATGACCTTCTACAGTTGTCTGTCATCATTGTAAAATGACCCCTTTCATTGGGGCTTATTCCTTGGAAAGGGTATTTAAGACGACAGGTTTTAGGGACTGAAGCTTAACAAATGTTGGTTAACAAATGTTGGTACACAAAAGCTTCTAATTCCTCACTCACACACCTCACCTCCCCACCTCTCCAAAACAACAACTACCCACCTTTAGATGCTGTTTAGGGTTTTGTTTGAAAAATATCTCTGCCATTCACCATCAGAATTAAGATTTAAAGCCACTTGTTGGCCTTGCCTTCTCTTTCAGGAGGAACGCTGTCGCAGGGAACGTGTCCGTCAGTCCCGCATGGACACCGACCTGGAAACCATGGATCTGGACCAAGGAGGAGAGGTAATTGGATGGATGGAGTGGTTAGAGGCTGGCTTGAGGGCTCAATTTCCTCTGCCTGTCTGAAGTCCTCTCCCAAGTGACATTTGCCTTCTTGAATCGCAGGCCTTGGCCCCTCGGCAAGTGCTGGACCTGGAAGACCTCGTGTTTGCCCAAGGAAGCCACTTCATGGCCAACAAGCGATGTCAGCTGCCCGATGGCTCTTTCCGCAAACAGCGCAAAGGCTACGAGGAAGTTCACGTCCCTGCCCTTAAGCCCAAGCCCTTCGGATCGGAAGAGGTGAGCCTCCCTCTCTGTCAACTCCTAAAGCGTTCCTGGGCCTGCTCTTGAGTTGCCCTAGGCGGGGGAGAGGGGGAGAATTGATGGAGAAGCTCCGTTGCTATGACCAGAAGCCCATTCCACACATACCTTTCTCCAGATTGTATCCCAGGTTACCCAGAGCAAGCCAGAGAGGCGTGTTTTCCACAGCCCGAGAAAGTGCTCGGTTGGAGAATGCGATTTAGGACACACCCTGGGAGGAGGAGGAGGAGGGGACGGGGAAACGGGGTCATAGGTAGGCAGTAAATTACGTGGGGCAGAGCCAACTGCACTTTCGGACACGTTGCTCCTAAAAAATAATTGGATTTCTTTTGAAACTCGACTCGAGGCTCATGAATTAATTAGGGCATCCGCTGGAACCCGGACACTCTCATTTCCCTGCTGGGGCTTATGTTATGTGAATTTGGCATCGCAGTCATTCCTCTTCTTCCTCCATCATCTTCCTCAGCAACTCGTTCCTGTAGAAAAGCTCCCCAAGTATGCCCAGGCTGGATTCGAAGGCTTCAAAACCCTGAACAGGATTCAGAGCAAACTCTACCGCGCGGCGCTCGAGACGGACATGAACCTGCTACTGTGTGCGCCCACGGCAAGTGTCACCTTTCTCTTCTCCTATCTTGAGTTTTCCCCACTCTCTGATGCGTTGAGTTAAAACCGCGACCCCCTCCCTCCCTCCTTCCCTCCCCAGAGTCATTCTGGTGAGAATTATAGCCCAGAACACCTTGGGGAAGACAAAGGCTGCTCTCTTACGACACCGAAATATCATTTTATCACGTTTTATCTCTCTCTTAAATTATCGTATTCTATTCCAATTTCATTTTAGACTGTACTTTCTTCCAATTTCATTGGAAATCTTATTTTATTCTAATTTTTCGCAATTGTGTTTTATTCCAATTTCATTTCAGATTGATCAAAGCAATCTGAAATGGAATTGGAATAAAACACAATTGCGAATAAAACACAATTTTTAGTGATCATCTTGTTTCTGGAATTTTGCCCTCGCATACGGCCCAAGGGCTAATCCGTCAACAAAGAACCCCGAATCTCTCTTCCCTCCCCTTCAGTGCGTTCTACGGGGCAGGGGTTGAGGGAGTCACAGCAGGAATGAGGAGGATCGGCTTCTCTCTCTTGACGCTCTCTCCTCCTCCAGGGTGCCGGGAAGACCAACGTGGCTTTGATGTGCATGCTGCGCGAGATCGGAAAGCATATCAATTTAGACGGGACAATCAACATCGATGACTTCAAAATTATCTACATCGCCCCCATGAGGTCCCTAGTGCAGGAGATGGTGGGCAGCTTTGGGAAGGTAAGAAGAAGAGTTGATGGTGAGTCGGTAGAAGACACGCACACGAGTGGAGCGCAGCTTGAGGCCAACCAGTTGTGCCCAGTCTTAATGATCGACATTAAGGTCGGCTTTCCAAGGGATGAAATCCATTTAAAAAAAAGAAAAGAGCAACGTCCATCTTCCAAAACTCATTTCTTTTATTTAGGAAAGCATCAAATTGGCAAAGTCTGTTGTAATTCTCAATCTGACACAACCCGGAATTGCACCAGATAATATTGGAAGTTAAGAAACAGCCCCCCAAAAGTCACATTCTCCAATAGAAGTAAATCAATGTTTGCCTTGGTGTCATCAATCTCCACCTCCAAGACTCAGCAAAGTCAGCTTTCCTTCCCACAGGAAGAAGACCCACCTAGCCTAAACAAC